GTCTCTCAGGCCTCAGCAGCACCAATGCCCTGGGTGTACCTGCACAGCCTGCTGTGCACCTGCACCACTTATAGGAATATCAACAGCAGATTCCTGACCTGGCTCTCACATCTGCTGGTGTCACGCTTCAGCTACACCAATAGCTACAGTCAGAGTACTGACACAAGTCAAATGTTTCTCCTGTGGAGCTTCCCAAGCCAAAGCTGGACTCTGTGGTACAAGGATATCCTCTCCAACCCACTTCTTTCTCTACTAGCTGCTGCCTCTGTTTCTTACCTGTTGTTCCTGCATATGTTCTGACAAATCCTCTGTTGCAATGCCAGGAAAGGTTCAGTTTTGTGAACTTCCCCTGGACCTCTGAAAAACTGAAGCCAGGACGTTAAAATGGAATGGCTGATTTAAAACAATACACAGCCTTTAACGAATTAAAGCCCTGGTGTTCCTGGATTCCTTAGGGCTTTAAAACAGACACACACAGAAAGATTGTACAGACTAGCTCCTTACTTTAAATTTCAACACAAGTCACATGATATAGCACCTGTAAGGAAAACCAGCAAACAACACAAGTTGTGTGATGAACAGAAGTTTACCACATATATGCAAAAAACAGGGAGAGATGAGATTCCAGAGTCTCTGGAGAGTTAAGTCATCAAAACAGCACAGCAGCTTTAAAATGAGGCCCCACAAATACCATCCTCATGCAAGCTTTGTAACTCATGTAAGATGCATGAGAATTTTAAAAAATATTCAAAAAGAATTCTCAGGAGGGAAAGGGAAATCTATGGAACATTCAGCAGCATTTTGAACACATCCACAGTACCCCTTGGCAATAAGGCACTGCCTCAACTCCTCCTTCTCCAGCTGCCAAACCACACAGGCATGGGGAATGAGCGTGGAAAGGGTCACCTACAGTTTTTCCAAGAATGCAGGTAACTGTAAGTAGCGCTTATCCCATGCTGAGTAGCTGCACATCAGTTATACATGACACTAAGTTTCTCTATTCCTATTTTGTCTTAAAATAAGAAGTTTTTAAAAAATCTGGAAATCTCTGCATTTTGTCTGAAAAACATGCCTTGCTACATCTACAACAGTAGCATTGTGTGGCCCTGCTCAGTGTTTAGCTGCAAAAAGACATGGAAAATGATCCCTAGAACAGATTTTTCAGGCTACTTTCAAGATTATCTATATTCCCATTAGGCTCAATTAATCCAAATACGACCATATCTGATTTCAGATTGAGGAAGGCTTTTGTTCAAAATATACTGTTACACTTCCTGACTAGCAACAGGAAACAACTTTCAAGACTAACCTTCAAAAATATCTCCTTCTCAAAAAATTACCTTTCTTTTACACTCCAAGTGAAATGGGCTTTATGTTTCTCACTTGTCCTGATGCAATAAAAGTTCCTCCTCTCCAAGAAAACAAGATTGCTGTGATGGGGCAAACAAGGAACAGTACCAAGATCTCAAAAACTCTTAGGCATTGTAAAGGACAACTGAAAGGCTCTGGTCCAGCTCTGACTTCTAGTTCCTGCATCATGCTATCACCCTTTGAGAGACTATTGAAACTCTACAGCCCAGTCACAAGAGAGTTTTATTCAGAAGAGCAGGTTTGTTTACAGAGTAGTCAGGCCAAAGCTGAAGTTAGAGTCCCAGAAGTTTTCTTTATGTAGAAACCAGCCTAGATAGGAATAAGATTCAGTGCTATGTCCCTTGGCCTGTTAGAGCTTCACAGAGTCTAACTTGTCTAACAGGGAGAGAAGCAATAGAAGGTCCCTCCCTCAGTTCTTTGGCAGCATTAGCACCAGCATATACTGATCTCCTGATTGGGGGTGGCACACTCCTACATCATGCTTGAAGGACATAAGGCAAGAGGCTAGAACACCTTAGACTGTAATGGCCCAAAGATACAGTGCTCCTTGTGACAAAGACCCAAACTGGAGGCAAAAGTTAATTCATGCAAAAAAATTTGAAAATGCTCTATAAATGATTCTTTTTCTGTAAAGAATCTTAATGTTATTTCACATTCACTACGTGAATTATTCTCATCACAAATGTGTACCACTAAGAAGCAAGTTGATGCTAAATCAGCATGATTGAAGCATATCTGAGACAAAAATGAGTGATAGCCCTGAAGAGAAAGGCAAATTTGGTGCTTGTCATGAAAAGCACAACTAATTGGATTCAGTTTCTGTGTCAGAATCATCATTAGAAATTCATTATTCATACCTGTATCATCTAATATTCATAAGCCTACCAGCTGAGCACTTTGGACAGTTTTCAGTGTTTGTTCCTTTAAAACATTCACATGCTGTTCCCCAGGAATCCTGATGTGTCATAAGTTCCCTTGCAGCAATATCCCAACAAATGACAATTCACAAGAGTTGCAGCCCTTTTAGCTGGTTTGGAAATCTGTCAGCTATAGATCATGAAATATAAGAGTCAATTATTGAGATACCTGATAAGTCTCCTATTTTTTATAAAACCTGAGAGTCACTATGGCCTCAGGATGCTTCTTCATGGCTCAATGCCAGCTGTAGGCCAATCAAGTGACTATCACTGTTGGACTAGTAATGCCTGAGAACAGAAAAATTATAAGCTCCCAGTATGCCACGCCTGATGTTTCTCAAGTAATTACAACCAAAATTTCCCATGGATGCCTTGACATTTCCTCTGTACCAGGGTATTTTAGTTAATTGGGTTTTTTCCTCATGATGGATGACTTTTATGTGAGCCTCATCTGAGGTTTGCTTTGCTTGTTAGGGAACTTAGAGTGAAATACTGTGGGATACTATTCAAATTTCAGAAGAATATGTTCCACTCTTCTACTTTGAACTTCAGCTTCACGTTAGCAAATTTCTCTGGCTTTGTAATAATTTCTCACTTACTGACTGTGTAAACATTGTATGTGACACAAACTCAAAAAAAAACGGACATGGTTGGTTAGTCACTACTCCATGTGCTAGTAACCATCAGAAAAAGCAAAAGTTTGGAATTCATAGGCCTGGTACAAAGGACTGTTTCACATTGTAAACAGGGCAGCATCTTAGTGAGCTAGACAACCACTGCCTTCTACCTTATGTTTTATAATGCACATACATGTGGGTTCTTATGCTTCTTACCCCAACTTTAAAAAAATGTAAACAGACACATAATATGCAAAACAAAAAATAATTATTCACATTTTGAAAACAAATTGTGGATTTTCTTGTTAAAAGGTCAAGTAGTGAACAACTGACTTGAATTTGCTTAAATTGCCAGCAGATGATGTAACTTGAAGTCCAGGACAAAACTGACTTATACAAGTAATATTACACTAATTGTGCAATACCCCAAATTAAACCAGGTGGTTTTGTCTTGCTAAGTAGAGTTTAAGAATAAACAACCTAAACATGAGATCTCTGCAGGGCCAAGCATACCCAAGAATTCACATCATCAGCTAGAAGTTAACAGAGTTCTACTTAAAATGATGTGATTTACACCAGGGATTTTGAGTAAATTTAATTAGTTTCCTACATTTCAGCAGAGTATACTAAAAGTAAATGAATTCCCTCAGCATAAACAGTGAAACAATGAAGAACAAATGAGTTAAGCCATCTTCATAAATCAATTCATGCTAAAATATGTGCTAATCCCAATCTGCACACCAGTTAGATATTACCATGTGTGTACATTCAGCAATTTTAATTTAAATTGCCTGCAGTTAAACAGAAAAGGGCAGCAAACCCCTCTCATCATTCACGTGCTATTGCAGCACCACATCTGCAAATTAAAAAATGGCAGAGCTGCCCCAAACAACTGGATCTTCCAAAATTCTACTCTTAATCCTTTTACATGACTCCCTTGCTGTGAGACACTGATCGAACATATGTTGCCCTCATGTTGGTGAGGAAAAATAGGAGACGCAGATATTCTTTCCAGATTTATGGAGTCCAACAACTTTATAAATTTTCCATTTACCTTTAAAATAAAATAGAATCATATGGAATTACTAATAATTTGGTTCTCAAAGGAAGAAAACTAATCTGAAAATGCTTGAGGCATTCACTCAAAGTTCACTCCATGTTTTGAAATCAAGATCTCTCACTGGATTGGTTTGGAAGTGCTATAATAACAGCTTATTCTCTTGATATTTCATTACTTTCACAACTCTTCCCAAGTCAATCTGTTAATTAATAAAAAGCATTAAAAGACAAGGATTATTTCAACGTCTTTTGTTACATAAGGATTCAACTGGGCTAACGAGATTATGTTCTGCAAAGAGTGTATTTACGCACAAAAAAATATTTCCATTGGTGATAATTGATATTTCACTTACTAGCTGCTATGCCAATTTAACAAAACATTTTTACTAACAAATTAATAAAGACAGTTGTAAGATTTTTTTAATGAAATTTTACCTCAATATTTTTTTTAACATTTTCTGAATATTCTACAGAAAGGGCGTTCTAAGGCTGAATTTAGACCCGCAGGTCAATTTAATGACATGACAGGGACAGGAGCTGAAATCAGAAACCTTAATTTTTCAGCCTGAAAGTGGAAATCTTGATAATTTCCCAATATGGAAGTAAAATTCAACAAAGAAGTCTGAAGATTGCTACCAAATAGAACTACCCACATCCAGTTAGCTCTACAATTAATTGCCTATCTCAGAAAATTACTTGGATGGGCCCTTCTCATTCAAGGATACACCGCCCTAAATATGTCGCTAAAATATTATTTGGGGAGCACAGTCCCATTTTACCCCAAATCAAGCACGAAGAGATGTTTTACAGAAGAAGGTAGAAGTATTACCCCCATTTTACAGATAACTGCATACAGTTGAAAATATTGAACAATATTTTTGTGGTAATTCCTGAAAGTCTGTGATAGGTCCGTATTTGTAGCCATGTTTTTGACATGCATGCTGTACTCTGTCAATCCCACTTCTTCACTACAGAGTCACCTCCTTTGAAAGAAGTTATGTTTCCAGAGAAGGAAAATCTGAGAAATCTCTCTTACCTGGCAAAAAATGATGCTGCCACTGAGGTGCCTGTGGATACTTCACTGGCAACATACGTGCTCTGGGAAGCAGGGAAGCTGTACAGGGAGGGTTTATCTGCATTGTAGCGGTTCAATGCTGCTTCAGTCAGGCCCTCTCGACTAGTCTCTGTCATAAGCTGAGATATCTGAAAACAGAAAAAAACAGAAGTGTCATCAGCTAAAGCTCACTAGCTGACCCCTCCTAATCCAGAAGTACCTCCAGACTGCAGATGGAGTAAGAGAGGCATTTCATTCACTGTCTCTTTGCTGCTCTGTGAACAAGCTTATTGCTTCTTTCATGCTAATCTACAGTACCTTAGCTCAGCTCTAACCTTGTCTGCATTAAAACTAATAGGATAAATTTATCCCATCGATAAATGTCAATAATGTCTGTGGTTTTCCATTCATACAGAAAAGAAAGAGTAAACCATAATCCTTGCCTGGTTTTACCTTATGGTACAAGAGAGACAGCTTTGCTATGTGCAAGATATTTATATTTTACTTCTGGCCTTTGTAAAATAACACAGCATTAGCGTATTAAGCATTTTTGTTGACCTTTCTTCAGCAAACCCAATACACAGCATAGGAAGAAGTCCCATGGGATCTTAGACAATTTATCATCTCTCTGGAAAATTGGGACCATTACTACTCACTTTCATTGGCTTTACTGAAAGATTTTAAACACCTCATGATTTCATTCTTTTGACGGCCCATTTAACATTTTTTTCCCCTGTTAGGAAGCCTCATCTCAGCTTTTCATTGTTTGAAAAAGAACCAGAGTGCAAACTGACCTGACCCAGCTCTCCTCAGATCAATTGAAAGATCCTTTGACTTCAGAGAAGGTTGGATCAGCTCTACCAAAGCACCTCCTCAAAACTTTGATTTCAGTTTCCTGACTTCTTCTGGATGAATTTACAATGAAGTAATGTCATCTACTGTACTTCATGCAATTCCTAAAAAATTCTTTTTCTTCCTTCCCTCGTTTCAATGACAAATAGTTTTTGTTCACCAACGTGTGTCACAAAATTGCTACATGTGCCTTAAAAGAGCCCTTTCAAATTATCGCTAGCAATCATCCAAGGCATAACTTCCTTCTCCCTGCAAAAAGTTTGTAAGAGGCAGTCTCTAACCAGTTCAATTTCAGTTTTCATGCCTCTACTTAAACCACAATAACAACAGAACATCTTTGTGAGGCATGTTAAGAAAAGTACTTGAAATAATCCTGTAGTTCTTTTTCCGCTCAGACTTGCTTTATTTCAGCTGTTACACATTTCAGTTATTAAAAGCAAAGTTGAAGAACTGATTTGTATTTGGAAGGGGAAAAAGACGTGATATGGCAACATTTTTTAGACCAACTGTCACACGACCTCTGTTTCTCTCATAGAGAATTGCTATCCATTCTACGATGGCTAAGAAGATAATCCAAGTGTTTATCCTTAATTGCATACTTTTACACCAATTGACTGTAATACTTCAAGAGCAGGAATACTGAACTAGCCACTCTATTTTCATGAGGAACCAGTAAAATTGCTGCAAGTGTCCCCATCATGTTAATCTCATGGTGAGTCCTTCTAATTTACAGGATTCAGGATTCACTACTCTGAATAAGCAGTGCTCTTGGAAGGCTACAGATGAAATTCTGGACTTAAATCATCTCATACTACTGTTAGAATGCAGGAATTCAGGCTGTCTGCCAGGATACCTCCACATTTCCAGTGTGCAGGCAGACAGTTCTTCAGTGTTCTGCTACCCTATGTATGTCCACTTGGGGCATCCAACACACTTGATTTCACTAAGCAATTATTCCTTAAATACTGCATAATTTTGGCTAACTCAGCTATTTATATTTGCAATGAACTAGTACAAGATTCTGCCCTGTCCCCTCAAATTATCCTGAAACCAAATTCATCAACTGCTCAACAGACAGATTTAAAAGCCCACTCTTCAGAGCAGAGTATACATATAAAGTTAACCTCATCTTAGTTCATCTGATTCATATATCTGAAATCAGAATGGATTATCATTAATTAATTACCATTGTTGACAGTGTCACTAGGAAGTGCTACTCCCATGGCAACTGAACAGCAGTTAAGAAATTGATGAGTTGACTTATGTCAACTGCAATCATAACCTCTCCATATTCTGCCAAATAAAGGTACAGCTCCAAATATGAATTTCCACAGGCGGTGCAGTACATTTCTATTGGTGTCAGCAGATCCCCTGAAGTTTTAAGACGGTGAAGCTTGAGAGGCATTTGAGCCAACTGCACAACAGGAAAGGATTTGTGTATCTTGGTATTTGGAACAACCAGAAAACAATTAACGTGACATGGGCATAAAAGCCTGTGTCATGTTGGTTACATGGTTTCTGTGATTATAGAGACTTTGAGGTGATCCATGTCCACATCCACAAGTCCTACTAATGTGACCAGCACAGAGCAATAAAATGCCTCAAACTGATTGTGCACATTCCTGTAAAGTATTACTCTCTAGCTTCCTCAGAATCTGTTTAGATGCTTGGTTCCTGAATTTATTGGATAACTAGTTCTTATACACAAGCACTCCAAAATAATCACTTACCAAAGAAATATGAGATTGTTTTACAAAGATATAAATATAAAACGCTGTTCCTTACCTATGCACTCAGAGAGAAGTGAATATTAGTCAGCCAATGGAATGTTAATGCTTTTTTAATAAATAGGGATGAGGATCTTATAAAGCCTGTTATTTAGGTCACATTGTCTTACAGCAAAATGCAAAGGAACTGAAGGAGAAGCTGGAAATGATCAACCACATTTACAAATTCTGTATTTGTGAAGTGTCACACTATCCATAGGACTGAGAGAAAAGAGACAAATAATACTTATTTTAGTAATTGCACGTACTATGAGCAGATGCTGAATGGGGTTGTTTCTATATAAATGTAGGCTTTTCAGTACTCTTGCTACTTTGTTGTGTCCAACACAACAGTCCAAGTACTACAGGGGATGGTCAGTTGCTCAAATTGCAAGCTGTGAAACATCTGTATGGTACTGACCACCAGAGCCTGCTGGACAAGCAGCATCTCTCCTTTGTGTTCATTCACACCACTTGCTTTGTTACAGAACACAGGAAGCTACTTCTTGACATTGACATTGATGTACCATCTGCGAAAAGCAGCATTCCTGAGAGCCCTCCTAGAGGTGCCCTGGATGGACACTCATAATGCAGCATGTTGGACTAGTTAAACACCTTCTTGATCCTGAGGTCCAGCACCACTGTCTGGTTTCCTTACAGACGCTGGCACACTTCCTGGCCAAAAAAAAAAATCTGTTTCTCAGCATGAAGTCACTCAGAACTAAACTCTAAATGTACATACTGTCTGTCCTTGAGTTCCTTTGATTTACTCTTTTCCTCAGCAGGGACACTTCATAGTCAACAGTGTATTACAGGGATACTGAAATGGGAACATACTTTGTTTTACCTAAGATGTAGAAAAATCAAGATAAAATAAAATCTGGCTTAAGCCACAGTTCAGGATTTCCTAATGTAGGAATATTTCCAGTTTTAGTACTTTATTACTTTCTGCCAATGTGGGATTTTTTCAACAGTGAAATGTCTCCAGGAGAAATGAAAGCTGAAATATTTTCTTGAATTACAAACATTCTCCAATTCCTCGTCTGGGAAGTCTGCAACCACTTGGTGCTACAAAGGTAAAAGCCCACAGAAGCACCTTGTGATACTGCAACACCCATAGCCTCTAACAGAACAACAGGTTTTGTCTGAACGAGTTCAAGTCACTCTTTTTTTGCTATCTTTTCCTTATATCCTTTTGGTCATGCAGCCAGTGGTGATGAAAGGTAAAGATGGTGCTGTGAACCATGTTGGCATCCAGTATTTTTCAGAGTATTGTTCATACTGCACAAATTCGTACAAGTGTGTCAATCCATGGGCTGAGTACCTCACTAGATGTGTGCCCACAATATTTGACTAATAAATCCTCATTTATCCCCAGATTTCAATACATATTCACAAGGCAGGGGGGCAGAAAGAAATCCAGACAATTCATATATCCAGAGACTCCTGGCTTTAAGTCAGTTATTTTGCATTTACTTTCTTTTCCCTCATAGATTGGAGAGAGTAGAAATCATTCAAATTGTTAAACCAAACTGAAAAGTGGTCTTTGGAGGTAATATTACCATCTCATTTATTCTGTCCTCCAGTCACAGTAACAAATTATCCCTTTCTCTTCTGACATCACTCACTGAAGTTCACACATATACAAACTCAAGTAAATCGCCCAAAATATATAAAGTATTTAGGGAAAAACACTCACATAACAGACATTTCCAAAGTTATTAGAGAATTTGGTTTTCCCTGTCCCACTGCCAAAAACATAGTTGAAAATTACACTTTGAGCATTAACAAACTAACTTTTTCTTTTTTACCTTTCTCTTTTTCCACACTAATGTGTGTCTGGCAAGCACAATTCAAGTAAATCTGCCTCTTTAGTGTCACCATCTCTCTTACTAGATGCTGTTTCAGTCTTTAAGGGGGAAAAGACTTGATTCTTAAATTCTCTTTCCCTTCTCTTTTGTGAGTACCCACATAGCATATACAAGAGGTTTAAGATCACTTAATAGGACATAGGAGAAATTCCTTCATAGAATTGTTGGCAGCACATCAGTGCCTGGATAAGGAACAAAAAGACAAAGAATGAAACAACACAACCTTTCATGCCTCAATAAAAACCTTCTAAGTGCATGTGGGACAAGACAGATATCCCTCCCAAGGTTTCATTTTTTTTCTCCTGTCTCATAAATGCAAGGCATCCATTAACTTCCTCTTTCACTGGTTGCTGACAGTATACAGCAAGAGCTAGAGATAAATCATTATTTAAATTCCCTAATTCATAGGAAAAAGATGGCTCTGCAGTTAAACTACAGGTGTCAGCCAGGCTAGATTCTCTTCCTATTCCAATTACAGAGTCTCTCTGTGTATAAGACTTGCCATCAGGCAGTATGAGGTTAATTATATTTACATAAGGGTGTTTTACAGCCCAGCTCATTAGTGGTTTCTAAAGCTCCTAACTGAGGACTTCCAACCGAAATTACTGTACAAATGGAAGTTAGCATTTATGAAAGATATGAAACATCCATTGCTCTGGA